CTGTAGACTTTTGGCTGGCCGGATTGGCCGGCAACAGGTTAACAGGTTCACCTGGCGAGCGAAGTGAACCGGCTGGGTGAGTCGTCGGCCCTGGCTATTCCTTAAGCCAAGCGCTCTGGGTTGGCCCCGGCCGTGCCCCGCGCACCCAAGGTTACAACAGCTAGCCCCGTTTAGGGCCCAGCCGCTAATCTCTCTCTCTCTCTCTCTCTCTCTCTCTCTCTCTCTCTCTCTCTCTCTCTCTCTGACCTGCTTTAGCTTGTTGTGTGAACGCGACCTGTGTTACGCAGGGAAGCAGGCGTGTTTCTTAGCGCGGATCGGTCGGGAAACAGGGCCAAGCGCTAGGTCGCGGCCACCCGAAGGGCGCCGGAGAGAGGGAGACCTTCGAACCGGCCTCATCCTGAGGACAGAGGGGGCTTTTCACCCTCGCCTCGAAATTGATCCGACGAAAGGGCAGGAACGGCGGGGTTTCAAACTGGGCCAGAAGTGACCACGGGTCATATTTCCATTTTTTCTGCCATTCCTCCTTACCACCTGCGAGCTTTAACAACCACCTTTCTTTCTGCTACCCCCTCCGCCTCCCATTGCCCCCCCCCCCCAAAAAGTGTATTGTGAAGAGAGGCAAGGACTGCATAGGGCCAAATGCGGAGTGTCGTTGCGGGACCCCCGCACTTTGAGATTTTCCTTGCTCTCTTCGAATTGTGCGTGGCCGAACTCCGCTTCGCTAAAATAACACTTACACGCATAGTATATTCAGTATACATAAACACACGGAGAGAGAGAAATATGTTCACGCAGACTGCTATACGTGTGTATGTGTATGTGTGTATAGGTACAGATCCATCACACCCACCCGCATCCATCTATGCCGCATTGCACAGATTATATATTTGTACGGGTGTCTACCCTCTCTTTTCCTATCTAATGCTCGCCCTATTGAGACTTTTCATTTACTTGTTTGTTTGCCTTCTCGAAAAAGGTGTTATTTCTTTGCCCGGGATTGATAAACTGTACGCCTTCTTAGGTCTGGATTTCCACGGATCGCTGTGAGGTTTGAACGGTTCCCTGCAGCTCAGACTATAAAATAAAAACTAATTGGGTTGTTCTGGACACCCTTCACCACGTTGGGGTGTTTCCTTTTGTTTGTTCTGGATTTTTGTGGCGAACTAAATAAAGGAGACTTTGGTTAAGAGGAAGAAATTGAATCCTGTGAACAGGGGGCACCTCTGAACCAACCCACCCACCCCTGCCGTGGTTTTTAATGTGTTTTCTTGGAGTAAAATCCTGCTTTGTCCTATTTTTTTCCCCCTTCTGTTCTCCTTGCCTTGGCCCTAGAAAAGTACCAGGGTAAGAAGCCTCCGTTCTTGGGAGACACATCGGGCGCCCTGAAGTGGGCGCATGCATTTTGTTTCTCAGGTTTTCTCATTTGGGTGTGAAACGTGGAGCAAAAGTCATAAAAGTGGGAGACAATCATCATCGTCAACCGTCGTGTGGTGGAGAAGAATGGCAGGGACCCCAAGGGAACAATGAAGTTTAAGGGTCACCCTTTTAAAGTTGATCACCACCTCCTCTCTCTCTGATTTTCTCTGGGTTAAGCTGATTGATGCCTGCCCCATGTAAGGGCCAGCCAAGTTGCAAGAGTTTTCTTCAGAAGAAGAAGAAAACTAGGCTAGGTCTGTACCTTCAGGGTAGGATCAGTCTGTCCCAGAATTAAGGGAAGCAGAGGTTTAACCTGGAGGTAGGATTTTGTAAATGTTCCGCTTGGAAATCCAGTTTTAACTGCTTGGCTCAGACGGTGAGATCAAGTCAGGCTCTTAAGTCTGTGCAAACCGCAAGATCAGCGTGAGAATATTATTAGAGAGACTGTAAAGTGTTTGGACTGATAAAGAGGTCGGGGCCGTGTTGTTATTATTATGGTGGGTTGCATTATTATTATCATTATCCTGGGAGATGCCAGGTGATTAAAAGTTCACTCCCTGTACCTGTAGAACTTTAAGCCGCAAAGGATCTTAACGGGTATTTCAGCATTGAAGTGATTTTAGTTGTGCAAAATTTTGATTCAAATCTTTTTTCCCAGGTATCTTGAATTCCCTCTGTAGCCCAAATGGGATTTATCTTTTCTCCCCCCCCACACACACACACAATATTCCCCAAATTCCCCATCTCCCCCCCCCCCATTCAGCCTGAAGAATAGTGGCCCCTAAAGCACAGGGTAACTCTCTCTTGCAAATAGCTCAGCCTTTCAGAAGGCGACCTCACAACAGAGTCCAGAAAGTCCTGTTATCTTACAAAAGAGGGTTGCAAATTTGTGTAACGCACAGACACAACACCTGCCTGGAATTCCAGCTTCCACACCAAGTTCATTTTTTTAATACAAAAACAAACCGGTCGCCATAAAGAAGGATAATGTGAATAATAATAATAACAATAATAATAATAATAATAATAATAATAATAATAATAATAATAATAATAATAATAATAATAATAATAATAATAATAT